GGCCCAGTCCTCGCCAGCCTTCGGGGCGAAGCTGCCCTTCCTCAGCCCCGGCTTCCGCTTCCTCGCCGGAAACCCGGTCCCTCCGGAGCTCTCCTGCATCCCCAGCCCCAGACTGTGGCCCCGCGCCAGGTGGCCGAGCGGCTGGGAGCGGGAGGCGGAGCAGCTGGGCGACCTGTGGGCCGGCCGGACTCGGGTGGCCGCGCAGCCCGAGGACGCCGCGGCCGACGACGCCTCGGACGACTCCGGCTGGCCCCTGCCGGTGCCCCAGGTCCTCGAGCCCACGTTCCAGGTGCTATGGAAGCCCATGGTGTATTCAGAAACCATGAAGCTGGCTCCTGGTGTGAGTATGTGGAACCGGGGCACCCAGGAGCTGCTCACCTCCGCTGCCACCCAGGAGGAGGCTGACGGGGGCGCCTCCCGTGCGGCCGAACAGCAACCCAGCCAGGCGGGGGTGTCCAAGCCCCAGGTGATTATGACACCGCTAATAAAGAAGGAGGCCCCCAAGGCCTGACTGCGCCCCGCTAAGCCTGTGCCCCACGCTGGGTCCTGAGCCTCCGCGCTGGGAAGTGGACCTTGCCCAAAATAAACATGCTTTGCGGCAGGAGCTGACTGACGAGACGGTGCCCTTTCTTCCAGGGATGTGTATTCTTCGACTGGACTGTAGGGGGCGCAGTTGTCACGGCTTCGGAGACAAGCCTTAGGATCAGGCTGTTCACTGTTCCTGCCCTCTCAAGGAACATTGTAAGGGAGAAAATGTAAGGACTGTAAGGGGGATCTGGTTCCCAGGTAGAACTTTGTCCTTGCAGTATGGAAGGAAGGGCACAACTGCGATTATAAGCACAGAGTGATTCCACACACAAATTCAACCTGCTTTTCCCAACTCCCGCAGCTTAGTCAATTCATCTTGGATAGAAAAATCCATTCCATACTGTTTGGGTTTTGCTCCTGTGTTCAGGCGATTGAACCTAGAACTTTGCATATGCAGACTTACAGGTAAAACACACCCAATAAATCTTAAACAAAGCGTGCACATAAATCTGCTCATAATGGAGATGTCCTATGTACCCTGTGGGAAGCTGGCCAGCCAGTCTAGGCAGAACTGGTGAGTTCCAGGTTCAAAGGGAGACCCTGTCTCAAATAAAATAAAATATAAAGTGTAGAGTGATTGAGGAAGACAGCCCAGGTCAACCTCTGGCCTCCAAATGTGCGCGCGTGCGCACACACACAATGAAGTGACTAGAGAAATCCAGTTAATGAATTATGCATAGCCGCAAATGAGGACCTCTCTCTAGAAGTGTCATTTATTTTGTGTGCCTGGCCTTCAGTGTCAGTTGGCTCTTAGACTTCTGGGAGCAGGAGAGGATGTAAAAAGCTGGCACAGGCGGAGAGGAGTAGGGTCCAGCTGGCAGAAGAGGAGGGTCAGAGAGTACAGTCAGAGAAGACAGTTGGTGCAGGAAGAAGAAAGGGCAGGGCTATCGAGAAGAAGAGGCTGAGCAGAGTGAAAAGAGACGGTTGAAAATGAGTTGGGCTAGCAGAGTGAGCAGACAGTTGCTGACAGATGAGCCAGGAGAAGCTGGGCTGAACCACAGAAGGTATTACCAGGAGATGGAAGAACCCAGGAAAAACCCAGATAAAGTAAACAGAGAGACAGACTTTGTTTTTCAAGACAGGGTCTCTTGCAGCCCATGCTAGCTATCAGGCCGTGAATAAACTTGGAACTCCTGATCCAGCACTCCTCCCAAGTGCTGGAATTAGAGATACACTTGTACAACCAGAAAAGATTTCTCCCTTTGTTTGAATTTGATGGCTCAGTGGTAGTTAAGAGAACTTATTGGCTGCTCTTGCAGAGGACCTGAGTTCAGTTCCCAGCACCTACATGGCAGCTTGGCTCACAACCATCGTGAACTCCAGCTCCAGGGGCTCCAAGTCCTTTTCTGGCCTCTCCATGTGCATGGTGCAGACATGGCATACACATAGGCAAAACATACACACTCATAAAATGAATGAATCTTACAGAAAATACTCCAGGTTCTATTAAGGAAAAGGGAAAAATGGAGGTGTATATACTACCTTTTGCATGAGAAACAAAAGGAGTAAAAATTCTTATGTTCATATTTGCTTTTATTTAAATAAAACATCTACAAGATGACCAAGAAACTAATGACTAATTATCTGTAGCAGGCAAGGAGGGTAGACTACATTGGAATGAGGATTAAAGGGAGGCTTCTCAGTGCATGCTTTTTTTTAGGGGGTTAAGACAGGGTACTTTCTGTCAGATTTCTTTGTGTACCCTGGCTGTCCTGGAACTAGCTCTGTAGACCAGGCTGGCCTTGAACTCAGAAATCCACCTGCCTCTGCCTCCTTAGTTCTGGGTTAAAGATGTGTGTCACCATGCTGGACTTTTTTTTTTTTTTTTTTTTTAATTGAGACAGGGTTTTACTGTGTAATTCTGGCTGGCCTGGAGCTTGCTACATACAACAGACTGGCCTTCAGCTCACAGAGAACCCTTAGAATGCTTGGATTAAAGGCATAGGCCACTATGCCTGGTTCAGTGAAAACTTTAAAGTATTAGTTTTATTTTGTAGTGTGTGTGTGTCTGTGGTGTGTGTGTGTGTGATGTGTATGTGGGGTGTGTGCGTGTGTTTGGTCAGTTCTCTCCTGCCTTCCGGGAATCAAACTCAAGTTGCCATGCTTGTGCAGCGAGTCCCTTTACCTGCTGAGTCATGTCACAGGCTCTACTTTGAGTTTGAATGGCAGGAATTCACTGTCTGTTCAGAGTAATTGATTTAGGAGATGAAATCGGTGTGAAGGGATAGCTAGTAGAGAGGGTGTCCATCCTGTCAGCGACGTTCTCCTTTTACAAATAAGGAAATGGTACCGAGAGGTTAGGTAAGCAGCCTAGGATTTCACACAGCTAGTGACTGAGGGGAGGATTGGAGCCCGACTGTGAAGTCCTAACTCCTCTCCTGCAAGTAACTGCACATTTGCTCATTCCTTCATGCCTACATGTAGGTATCATTGTTCACACGGCTGTCCTAGAACTAGCTTTGTAGACCACGCTGCCCTTGAACCCAGAGATCCACCTCTTGCCCCAAAGCAATTCAGTTCTGTGGGGCTGAGGAACGCTGGAGAGGGAAGAGAAAAGAAACGGGCATCTCGGTTGATCTCTCCCTTCCTCTACTCCATATGCGTCACTTTTGGGGAAAAAACAAAACAAGCAAGCAAAACAAAGCCCCACCCGATGCGTCCCGCAGACCCTCCGCCAGCAGAGGGCGCTCGGCCCGCCGCGCCTCTCCAGCGCGGTCCTAACCGTACTTCCCAGGCGTAGTGCGCGTGCACCCTGCCGCAGGTGGCCAGCTCAGTGCCTTACCGCTGGCCTCGCCGTCGCGCCTGGCGAGGCCTCGTCAGCCGGGGCGGGCGGCAGGCTTGAGGAGCCTGTTCCCAGAGCTAGAGTT